ATTTGATTCGAAATAACCTTGATGTGATGCATATCGAAAAGAATGTGTTTGATAATATCTTTTATACTGTCATGGGAATCAAAGGAAAAAGTAGGGATAACCTCAGTGCTCAAAAGGATATCCAAGTTCTATGCGACCAACCAAAGCTTACTGTGAATCTAGATACAGGTACTATGCTTAAAGCAATATACACATTAAGTCGAGAACAAAGGAAGAAGATATGTCAATGGATTAAGACATTGAAATTCCCTGACGGATATGCTTCTGATATCGGCAGATGTGTTGATGTAAATGAACTCAACTTGAGCGGTATGAAAAGTCATGACTGTCATATATTTATGGAGAGGTTGATTCCGATTACATTCAAGAATATGCTTCCAGATTACGTATGGAGTGCCATTGTAGAGGTTAGTCTATTTTTCCAGCAATTGTGCAGTCCTATATTGAAGAAAGAATATGTGAAAGAGCTGGACGAAAAACTCCATTAATAATTTGCAATCTTGAGAAGATATTTCCACTAAGATTTTTTGATTCAATGGAGCATCTTATGGTTCATTCACCATATGAGGCACATGTAGGAGGACCTGTGCAATATCGATGGATGTATCCTTTTGAAAGGTATGTTAATATTGTAAATAAAAATTTTTATAATTATGCTATTTGTAAATTATTTTAATATTTTAATATTTATTTTGAAGGTTTTTGCTTGATTTGAAAAACAAAGCGATGAATAAGACATCTATTGAAGCCTCTATATACGAAGTATATTTAGTGGAGGAAGTTGCAACATTTGCATCGTATTATTTTGATTCTGGCATTAACACAAAACATGTTTGCAATAGTAGGAACAACAAGGGTGTTGAGAAAGTCTTGGATTTAAGTTTCTCAATTTTCAATCAACCTGGCCGTTCGGATGGTAAGACATGACTTCGATATCTTAGCTCACAAGAACGGCATGCTATTGGGACATATATATATATTATTAAATTGCCCTGAAGTGGAGCCATACTTTAGGTAATTTTATATTATATTTAAATTTTTTAAAAGTGATCCTTTTAAGGTAAATTTATTCATTTATACTAAGATTTCTCATCTAAAATTTTGACATTGTTGATGTAGTCTATTCAAAAATAAAATGAATGATCTTTATAATAATGAGAGGGTGGAGTTGATACACTTGTGTGGAAGCACTTTGTAAATTGGTTTAAATTATATGTAAGTTATTAGCATCTTGTTTTAATATGAACATTATACATGTATATATATTTTTTTTACATATGAATTTTTATATTTCAGATCCAAGATGCTCGGAATTGTATAGATGATCATTTGTTGAAAACACTAGCATGGGGTATATTGAATAAATTGACAACATTTGAAGCATATTACGTCAATGGCTTCAATTTTCATACAGTGCAATATGCTGAGGGTAACCAGACTATGAACTATGGGATATGCGTGCGATCTTGCAATTATTCATCTGTTGAAGACGACTTCTATGGTCAATTGGAAGAAATAATACAGGTGGACGTTTTAGAAGGTCCTGAAATGCACGTTGTTTTGTTTAAATGCAAATGGGCTGATCCTATTCATGGACAACGAGTGCATGCTAAATATAATTTTGTGGATGTGAATTTTAGACGATGGTATCGATCAGTTGAAAAATATATTTTGGCTCAACAAGCCGTTCAGGTATACTACATTTGTTATCCAAGTATGAGTAGGGAAAGAGATGATTGGCTCGCTGTGTGCAAAATTAAGGCACGACATAAGATAGAACAAAAGTGGATTAATATTCCATTTCAGCCGGATGAAACTATTATGCGAGAGTTCACCACATTGATAGAAGTGCCATTACTTTATGACTCAGAAGGTATTTCTTAATCTCATTTATCATGATCGATTGGTTAACATGTTGCTAACCGTATTCTATATTTTGTGACTTAGGACAAGACTCAAATGAAATGATTGACAGTGAAGAAAATGAAGATATTATTCAAAGTTGAAGAAATGAATGGTAATGAAGAAAATGAGTATGATGATGTTTTTAACAGTGATGATGATGATGATGATGATGATGATGATGACGACGACGACGACGACGACGACGATGATTATTAGTGTGGCTTTTAATCATATCCAATTAAAGATATTTGCTCGTTGAGGCATTTTGACTATTTTTTGATCGTTGAAGACGTTGTTTTTGAGAACTTCTCTTGATTAGTGGAATTGCTATTGCCATTCTCCGTGGATGTACGGATTTATCCCGAACCACGTAATTTGTTTTTTTTTTTTTTTTTTTTTTTTTTTCTGTATTACTTTTATATTAAAATTTTATTATATTTTGTCCATCAATTTCACAAATATTTAGAATTTTTGTAATATTGATGTATATAAATATCTAATTTAAATCCCACGTATTACATTAGAGGGAATGATATATATATTACATCATACATGTCAAATTTATTTCATCTATATTATAAAATTTGATAAATATTTAATTGATATATTTTATTGATTTCTATAGTTATTAATGACTATTAATGTTATGTCATACAAATAACTATCAAAATTTAAATTATTCTTTAATTATAACTATTTTATTTTTCTAATAAACCTATTAATTAATTGTATTTTCATAATATATAATTTTAAATTTTGGCACATTTGTCTTTCTAACCATATATTAAAAAATTAATAATATTGTTTTTTATGGGTCATTAAAAATAGTTCTATCAAATGAAAATTTTTTTCACAATATTTGATATGAATATATATATATATATTATGATTATTTAGATATATGTGACAAAAAGTAAGGCAAATTTGCCATGGAAGTATTTTGAAGCTAAATTGCTTCAATATTTTCCATGGAAAAAATTTATTGCTATTTTTGCTATGGAAATAGATATGAATAATAAAGGGTTTAGTTAAAATTTTATATAGGATGTCTTTACTTTAGTTTTGAATAATAAAAAATTTTAAATTTGAATATCTTTTATTTGATATGAATAGATGTTATGTGATACTTTGAACATAAATTAATTTTTAGTAAAAGCAAAAAATATTAAAAAAATTCTAACGAAATAGTTAGCAAAAAGAAACAATTTTTAATAATTTTTTAAGTATATGTTTTTTAATAAAATATACTTGTGGATTAAAAAAAAAATCTAAATAAATATTGAAATATGTAGTTGATATTGTTGTAATTTTTTATTTTGTAAAATATTTAAAATATGACATTTGAAATAATAAAATTATCTTACCCCCCTTTGGTCTAGTCCTGGTTCCAACACTTGAAAAGTGAATAAATCATAATAGTCATGACAAGATTAATTTTAAGGATTGTGTTATCAGTTTGGAAGATTAACTTGCCAAACTTTGTCAACCTCTCTCTCCAAGTGATGGAACTAGCTTCCGGATTCCAGAGAGAGTAAAATTATTATATTATTTTTATTTTTTTATTATTTAATTTTAATTTTATATTTTGAACTGTTAATTTTCAAATAGTTTATTTGAACCGATAATTTGGTCTATTTATGTATGAAAAAAGTTATAAGAACCTACTCATCAGTTCGCTACTATTAATTCAACCCCACTCTTTTTTTTTAATTTTTTTTTTTAAGTTTTGAACTATAGTAAAATTATGAAAAAGAAGTAAATAAATGAAAAGAAGAAAAAATAGAAAAAAAAATTATATATGGTAAAATTTTATTAACATTTAGAATAGAAAAGATATTTTTTATATAAAATATGTATAGTTAAAATTATTATATAATATTATAAATTAAAATAATAATTTAGAGATAAAATAGAGTAAAAATTTTGAATTAGAGGAGGAAAAATTACTAATTAGATTTAAAAAAAAATTACTTTAATTCTTAAAAATGAAATAAAAAAATTTGGGGAGACAATTGCAGCTTAGGATCCTTACGGGGTCCGTCCATGTCCACTACAAGAAAAAAAATAATTTTTGTAACAACTTTTTTGTCACTAAATCAATTTTTTCCGTTACTAATGACATTAGAGACGGAATTAGGAATGAAATTACGTTAGCTACGTGAAATTTAGAGACGAAATTCCGTTACAAATATATTATTTTTTTTGTAGTGGTCTCTCTCTTTGATCTTGTCCTTTTTTGTTTATGCTCGAAATTATGTAAAATATGCACAGTTCATTTAAAATTATTTAAAGAGTCAAAGTCATCATTTTTTTCATGATGTATGATCGTTTTTGGACATCGAGGTTGTTTAGGCTTCAAATCAATTTTATTTTTATTTTTTATTTTTCGGGCCTTTTTACTATTTTTGCAATTATTTTTTCTTTAGGACTTTAGGGTTTCCAACTATATATATATTTGTAATTAATTTTTGGTTGAATAAAAAATTTCAATCCTTATGATGATTATTCTCTTGCTCAGCTATGTATCGAACTCAGAAGAAATTATTTGGGGTTTTTTTTTTGTTTTGTTTTTTCAATCTAATTTTTTTAGTTCAATATTGTATCGAGCAAGAATACAATTTTTTGGTAAAGCATAATGATCATTTTGTCTTAGTATATGCTGAAAGAGAACTGATTTAACATGAGACATATGTGTTGATCAAATTTTGAGATGATAAAGTTAGAGAATGTTTATTATTTGTGCTTAATTAAGGTGTTAAGTTATAGAACAAAGTACTTGTGACTGATGTTAATAATAATAATCATAACAGAAGTAAAATTCATTAGTAGCACTACAAATTTATTTCGTAGATGTGCAAGTAGTACGGAGTTTTATTGAGTTTGCAGCAATATAATCCGGAGAGACATACATGATATATATATATATATGTGTGTGTGTGTCTCTAGACTGATCAGCAGCGGCATGCATACAATACAAGCACACTTATTATTCGACTTATAACCATCTATATATATCTTTTAGGACATTGATCAATTAAGCGTAGAGATCAGAAACCCTAATTCAATTTAATTTAATTAATCGATCAAAGCGATCTTCAGCGAGGACACTTGATGTGGAGATCTCTGATAATGGCGATGGCGAGATGACGATAGGCCTCCTGCGTGAGATGTATGCCATCCCAATGAATGTGGTTGTCTGGATTAGGGCAGAGCGGTGCGCTTTTGCTGTTCCCACAAAACAGACGACCTGTGGGATTGAATATGGGGTCTCCTCCGCAGCAAGCTTTCATCAATGTCGTCTTATTGAACCCTATTTAATTTATATACAAACAGACATCCATCAATAAAGACATGGCATGATCATACAAGTAATTAATTAATGATCATTTATATATATATATATACAATAGATCGATATTGAAATGATTTTTACAGGGTGAGGGTACTAGTATGTACATACCAAGCTGAGGTCCATTGTGGAGGAGTGTGTCGAAGTCACGGTACAGATCAACATATTGTATATTGGCTTGAGGAAACTCTTTCCTGAGTTGGACTATATCTCTGAGCAGATGAGCATTTCGAGTGGCGATCAGTTCATTCAAGTTTTTCACACATCCTCGTGCATCATATCTTGTAAAAAGATGTTTGTGAGCATTGGCCCGAACAAATGGAAAGCATCCCAAAGGAAAAAGTCCCGGAATTATAAGTTGGTGCGCACCGGCAAGAATCACCTCCTATATATATATATATATATACATACGTACAGATACAAAAATGAAGAATGTCCTTATTAATTTCAAAGGGGAGATTATTAATTAAGATTGATTCCAAATGAATTCGAACAAGAATTAATGTGATTATTGATATAGAAATTCATTACTCTTGCGGTTTTGATGATGACGTGATTGACCAATGGAGAGAACCTTCTAATCGTATCAATGGGCTTCCCTTCGCCGTAGGGGTATGCAATGTCATTGTAACCGATTTCACCCACAAAAACGAGGCTATTGTGAAGCTTGCGCCGACATTCTGTCCATGCATACATAATGCTTGATGTTTATATATATCTAGTTCAAAAATATGTATAGTCACAACTATATATATATATATACCTCTTGGAGTTACACAAAAGGTTGCGAGATGCCTCTTAAACAGCCGTAATTGAGTTTGAATCGAAGGAATAGGCCTCGTGTAAATGCCATGGGAGGCGTAAAACTTAGGGCCAAGCGCCGTGCTTCCGGCCACAGCAAAATTACTTCCATTCTTAGACGAAGCAGTTCTGTCCATATGAGGGTTCAAGAGGGGAAGCCCGAGAGACATAGCTGTCACACAATTATTCCATTTGGTTAACTAGAACAAATTAACCTATATATCTATTAAATAAATGATCATGTTTAAGCTAAGCTACTAATTAAAAATATGCATACGGAAAGACTTAATTAACAATACCTATATAGTCTATCATAAGCCGACCATCGGACCAGCGACCAGTGGGGTGCCCCGGAAAAGTTTTACCGTAAGGGGAGCGAGTCGCGGGGTTCAGAGGCATTAGTCGCTTCAAATTTCCGGTATCGGAAATGGAGTCTCCGAGCTGATATATCGAGTCTATAGGACATTTTATTCGTCGACTCGGATCGATTCTTCCTTGGACTACATATATGGAGGAATTGCAAACGATGATCGCTAGGAATGCTAAGATGGAAAGTATGTTGTTGCCAAAGCTTGATTCTTGCCCCATTATATTTCTATTCAGGTTTTGTGTTTTTTGGTTGATGAGGTGAAAGATTGATGTTCACCTTTCTTATTTATAGGCAGATATTGAAGATATCATCAATATAATATCGTCCTTGTATAATAATTATTATTGAGTTCGGGTCACGTCGAGTCTTGATCTTAAATGATCGATGCACTAATTACTATACTCTCTAGATGATCTCCTCGTACAATATTAATTTATTCGATCGACACATTGTCAAGACATGAATGAGATTGGGGATTCATTGTAAATCATGAACATGTGATGTGTGTTTTGTTTTACTACCTCGGGATCTTTTCGTATTTTACAATTCTTTTTATTTTAGACTTTAGAATTTTCAACTTTGTAAATACATAACTTTTCATTTTATAAATTATGATTTTGCTTGAATTAACAATATTTAATTTTTGATTGACAAGCATTCTCTTGTTTAAGTGTCTTTATCCATCCGTATATTGACATCAAGTCAAACACACTATACCGACGGAGAGAATGTAATTGAAATTGTTAGAATAAGAAACTTAAATTCTTTAAGAATCCGTGCACATTTATAGCGACATACAAATCGTCTAAATATATTTTCACATAAATGATAGGCATTGTTGGCTTAATTAAACAAGCTTAAGGAAAATTATTTTTTACCCATCACATTAGTTCTCAATCAAATTTGAATCTATGGGTTTTGCATATAATCGACGTAGTGTTAATTAAACCATTGCTTGTGTTGGATGGATTGTAATTTGTATAGCCACACAAATTAACCTCCAAGGGCTACTTCCCTAATCATAAGGTTTTATAGAATGTCCCTCACTCGTACTATTACTTACAATGAACTAATTATGACCTTATTAAGGATTCATTAATCATTAGTAGCTTTTAGATTCCCTTTGTACCCTAATATAATAGAGATCTTTACGGACACGTGCGGTTTAGCAGGAATAGAGTGAGCAATTAGTCAAGATTTCTAACTAAGAACGGATTTATATATTAAAATGTTAGTCCATTATTAATATTAAATTTTTTATTTTAAATTATAGTTTATACTACTTTGTTCGGCTCTAAGAGTCTCATTTATTCTTATTTTTTTTCGTATTGATCTTTGAATATTAATTATTATATAAAAACGTAATACAAATCAAAGATAAATAACAAAAATACTTCTATTAGTGTTTTATAATACTATTACAATGACATTTGTTCAAAAAATTATACAAATATAATGATATTTTTAATGTTAAGTACAATGACGCAAAAGGTAAACAAGACCCTTATAGCCGGACGGAAGGAGCATTTTTTATTCTTTGTAATTATACAATGTAATTTTAATTTTAAAACTAAATTTTAAACTCTGATAATATATATTTTTATCTCTTCTTCTTTACCACGCGACACTTTATCTTTCCAAATTCAATTATCACCTACATGGCTACACCTCTCTCTTTTACGTCCATAGTGCCACACCCACCCACCCAGATCAAGCCCGCCTCCCCCTTTCTCTTTCTCCCTCCCTCAGTCATTTTTCGCTCTTCGAATCTTCAAACACCACCGTGAAGCGCCATGGATCCGTCTTCCATCTTCTTCTCCAAAATTGACCCAGTTAGATTGCCGCCTTCAATCTCTTATCCAGCCGATGCCAATATCGATGATATTATTTTGAAATAACATTTAAGCGTATGTTTATAAGGTCTAAAATTTATTTTTACTCAGGACCAAAAAAGTTCGAGACGACCCCGGGCTATTTTTTAGGACTAAGCGCCAAAATTCCCCCCAAATTTAGTCTTTTTCTACTGCATTCTTTTTTTTTTATTATTTAATTTTTTAAAATTATTTGAATATAGTATTTTATGAGAGAAAAAATTTATACTTTTATGAAGAATGATGATGATTGCTAGTAAATAGACCGAAATTAAACTCTAAAAGAATACATACTTGAGAAATTTCATAACTGATACTATCTCCGTCCGGCTCTAAGGGTTTTATTTACTTTTTGCATGTTGAACTTTGAATATTAATTATTATATCAAAATGTAATACAAATTAAAAAAAAATTAAAAAATACTTTCATTAGTGTCTTATAATACTATTAGAAGGATATTTTTACAAAAAAATTATACAAATATAAAAATATTTTTAATGTTAAGTGCAATGACAAAAAAAGTAAATATGATCCTTAGATACGGAGAAAGAGTACAATATTAATATTAATACACTTGCCTAATTAATGTAGGGTCATTTCCCACGTATTAACGGAATTTATAACACAAACTCTTTGTAAAGATGTGCAACTTTTCAATTTCTTAATAATCAAATTGTTTTTGAATTTAAATAATTAATTAAATTTAAATACTATAATTTTGAATTCAAGAATAGTAAAATTACATTCAAATTAATGTAAAAAATATTGAATTCGGTATAGGAGTATTTGTTTGTTTGTGGTTTGAAATTGATTTGAAATGAGATGTTAGATTTGAGTTTTTGTTTAAATAGTATTTTGATTTGATGTTTTGTAAAGAATTAATAATATATTTTTATTAAAAACTATGCGGAATAAATAATATTTATTTAAGTTTAAAGTAAAAAAAAAAAAAAAAAGGAACTTTTATTACTCAAATTATCGAGTTTGATTTTTTTTTCAAGTTAAATTCAAAACAATTTGATTATTAAGAAATTGAAAAGTTGCACATCTTTACAAAGAGTTTGTGTTATAAATTCCGTTAATACGTGGGAAATGACCCTACATTAATTAGGCAAGTGTATTAATATTAATATTGTACTCTTTCTCCGTATCTAAGGATCATATTTACTTTTTTTTGTCATTGCACTTAACATTAAAAATATTTTTATATTTGTATAATTTTTTTGTAAAAATATCCTTCTAATAGTATTATAAGACACTAATGAAAGTATTTTTTAATTTTTTTTTAATTTGTATTACATTTTGATATAATAATTAATATTCAAAGTTCAACATGCAAAAAGTAAATAAAACCCTTAGAGCCGGACGGAGATAGTATCTGTTATGAAATTTCTCAAGTATGTATTCTTTTAGAGTTTAATTTCGGTCTATTTACTAGCAATCATCATCATTCTTCATAAAAGTATAAATTTTTTCTCTCATAAAATACTATATTCAAATAATTTTAAAAAATTAAATAATAAAAAAAAAAGAATGCAGTAGAAAAAGACTAAATTTGGGGGGAATTTTGGCGCTTAGTCCTAAAAAATAGCCCGGGGTCGTCTCGAACTTTTTTGGTCCTGAGTAAAAATAAATTTTAGACCTTATAAACATACGCTTAAATGTTATTTCAAAATAATATCATCGATATTGGCATCGGCTGGATAAGAGATTGAAGGCGGCAATCTAACTGGGTCAATTTTGGAGAAGAAGATGGAAGACGGATCCATGGCGCTTCACGGTGGTGTTTGAAGATTCGAAGAGCGAAAAATGACTGAGGGAGGGAGAAAGAGAAAGGGGGAGGCGGGCTTGATCTGGGTGGGTGGGTGTGGCACTATGGACGTAAAAGAGAGAGGTGTAGCCATGTAGGTGATAATTGAATTTGGAAAGATAAAGTGTCGCGTGGTAAAGAAGAAGAGATAAAAATATATATTATCAGAGTTTAAAATTTAGTTTTAAAATTAAAATTACATTGTATAATTACAAAGAATAAAAAATGCTCCTTCCGTCCGGCTATAAGGGTCTTGTTTACCTTTTGCGTCATTGTACTTAACATTAAAAATATCATTATATTTGTATAATTTTTTGAACAAATGTCATTGTAATAGTATTATAAAACACTAATAGAAGTATTTTTGTTATTTATCTTTGATTTGTATTACGTTTTTATATAATAATTAATATTCAAAGATCAATACGAAAAAAAATAAGAATAAATGAGACTCTTAGAGCCGAACAAAGTAGTATAAACTATAATTTAAAATAAAAAATTTAATATTAATAATGGACTAACATTTTAATATATAAATCCGTTCTTAGTTAGAAATCTTGACTAATTGCTCACTCTATTCCTGCTAAACCGCACGTGTCCGTAAAGATCTCTATTATATTAGGGTACAAAGGGAATCTAAAAGCTACTAATGATTAATGAATCCTTAATAAGGTCATAATTAGTTCATTGTAAGTAATAGTACGAGTGAGGGACATTCTATAAAACCTTATGATTAGGGAAGTAGCCCTTGGAGGTTAATTTGTGTGGCTATACAAATTACAATCCATCCAACACAAGCAATGGTTTAATTAACACTACGTCGATTATATGCAAAACCCATAGATTCAAATTTGATTGAGAACTAATGTGATGGGTAAAAAATAATTTTCCTTAAGCTTGTTTAATTAAGCCAACAATGCCTATCATTTATGTGAAAATATATTTAGACGATTTGTATGTCGCTATAAATGTGCACGGATTCTTAAAGAATTTAAGTTTCTTATTCTAACAATTTCAATTACATTCTCTCCGTCGGTATAGTGTGTTTGACTTGATGTCAATATACGGATGGATAAAGACACTTAAACAAGAGAATGCTTGTCAATCAAAAATTAAATATTGTTAATTCAAGCAAAATCATAATTTATAAAATGAAAAGTTATGTATTTACAAAGTTGAAAATTCTAAAGTCTAAAATAAAAAGAATTGTAAAATACGAAAAGATCCCGAGGTAGTAAAACAAAACACACATCACATGTTCATGATTTACAATGAATCCCCAATCTCATTCATGTCTTGACAATGTGTCGATCGAATAAATTAATATTGTACGAGGAGATCATCTAGAGAGTATAGTAATTAGTGCATCGATCATTTAAGATCAAGACTCGACGTGACCCGAACTCAATAATAATTATTATACAAGGACGATATTATATTGATGATATCTTCAATATCTGCCTATAAATAAGAAAGGTGAACATCAATCTTTCACCTCATCAACCAAAAAACACAAAACCTGAATAGAAATATAAT